ACTATCGATAGTCAGATTTTCGGCGACTATCGATACTATCGATAGCACTATGGATAGTTTTGCACTACTACCATACGCATTCCTCATCGACATTAATGCAACTCAACAAATCACAAAAGCGATCTAAGTGGGGCAGCCAAGATGCAGAACGCTGCGCACTATCCCTGTAGACTGACCTAAAATGCTCAGCAAATAACTCAGGCACGAGACTTCCGAATCGCCCTCATAATTATCCAGGACAATCTTCGACTCGACATGCCTCAGACAATGTGAATTCATGCACTTTCAGAATTTCTTCGGGTTATTGACGAGATCTGATTCTACTGAGTAACGATGAGCTTGGCGGTCGCGATTTAGGACTGTTTTACATTGCTTTCTGCAGCTTTTGAACTTTACCTCCCACTTTAAAAGGCCGCATTTCTTAAACTTCCTGGGAAAGAAATCTTTTATTTTCAGTTGTGTTTTTAGCTCACTGGAACACCATATAGAATAGCAAGACTTAGTAACCGTCCTTAAAGGAATTAAAGTATCCATGGCCTCCCGAACATTTCGCGTGAAGAGCATGACCAGGTCATTTGCATCAGGCGACTTCAAGATCAATGCTCCATCAAAGCTCGTGAAGTAATTATGCATCCTGACATAGTCCCCTTCTGACAAATTACATGAGGTGTGGGGCGGGGAACCACCAGAATGAGCACGAGCAGAGGAATTTTCGAAATAAAGCACTATATCAGGTGCAGGATGATATGTATCCCGGGGAACTAATGGGAGTTCACCCCGTGCTGCACGCACACTGTCCATATTTGCGAAGCATAAATCTAGAAAATTATATTGGTGATTCCGAACAATATTGTGTTCTGTGAGATTTAAGAAAGAAGAAAAGTTTAAGAGCTGGGCGCCTTTCTGCCTGCAGTAAAAGTTGTTCGAAAAACGTCAAACTTCGGCCAGTTGACTCTAGGAGCAGTAAAATCCCCCAAGATAAAGACACCGCATCTCTGTAAGTCATTCCCTGTATTCTCTATGCCGACAAGACAACTATGAAGTTCATCTGGCGGGGTCTGGGGAGGGAGGAAGGTAAAATAAACCGATTCAAACGCCTCCTTCCTTTGCAGCCTCAATCTCGACCCATACAGTCCGGGGAAGTTTCTCCAAATCTTCGCGTCTCCTTGAGTGGTAGCGCCTGTCGACTGCGACCAACACTCTACCTCCCGTTCTGCTCCACGGCGTAACATCTCGATCGCCACGGCGCACCTCAAAACAAGGCGGGAAGTAATCGGAGGAGCCGATGCTACAGCACAACCATGTTCCAGTTAAGCAAAATATAGAGCAATTGAATAAGGGAAACATTAGAGAAAAAGCTATGAGCTTTTGCACGTTGCACGAACGTTTTGGTAATAATAATAAGTGCTTAATAATAATGATAATAGTAATAGTAATCTTTAATAACTAATTCTTAGAGTCAGGATCAAGTTCCAGGTCTTGTCAAAGCCTCAAGGGCTTGTGGGACTAGACCCAGCAGTTGGAGCAAGCTTATTGAAAATGTTCACATTGTCACGTACACACACTCACACACACACACGTAAAAACACGAATCACACACCGATGACATCTTCTGCTCCAGGTGCAAGTTCACATTTCTGTCGGTCTTGAAAAAGTGCAGGAAAACACGTAGTCTCATCAGAAAATAAACACACATATACGCAAATACAGTAGCCCGAGAATACAATAAAGACCGTAGTCGTATCGGAAGCAGGAGCGAACTGCCAAGGCCTAACTTACTTCCTCAAAAAAAAAAAAAAAAAAGGACGCGCGCGTTTTTTTGCAGTATTGCTTTATTTAAGGAAAAAAGAAGCTTTTTATACTTTCCAGAAAGAAAAGAATGAAAGATATGCGCCAGTCACAATTACTTTGAAAACTTACTTACACGATTACTTTCATAAAAAAAAAAGTTTTTCGTGTTTTTTTTATATTTTTTATCAAGAAAAAAAGAAAAAAAATCCTAGTGAGGTACAAAATATTTCTTACAATCACGTTTTTAATAATAGCTCAAAACGTGTAAACAAAAAAGTGAACTGAAAAGATTACCTTATAAAACTAAGGTAGAAAAAAAGAAGATGGATGGTCACTGTTTTCGCACATCCGAGAACATGCTTCTCAGACATTTTTTCAACATCTTGTTTGAGTTAATGGAAAGCAGAGATTCTGGAAGACCATTAAAAATTTTCGGGACATAAAATGTGCGCAGACTTTCACCATAGTGAGTTCTCACCCTAGGAGTGACGAAACGTGGAACAGATCTGAGTTCACGAGATGGAGTAGACGCGAGGTTGGAGTCACTTTCCCAGAAATGCCGCCAAACGACAGTTTGAAGGAAAAGCGAGTAAAAAGACGGCAACTCAAGTGAAATGAAGAGGTTAGCATTGGATGAAAAGTCGCTGTTGTACGCGACACTTTTTAGAATCCCTTTTAAAACTCGGTCAATTCTTAAATGCCAGGAGAGTGAACAATTGAAGAAGACAGTTATGCCGTACCTTAGTACGCTGTAAGCTAAGGCGTGCATTATGTTCCTTCTAACTGACAATGGTATAAAACCTTTAATGTGGTACATCATGCACGACACGCTCCTCAACCATTGACATACGTAAGACATATGAGTGTCCCATGTAAGATCACAATCAAAGTGAATACCTAAGTACTTTACTGAACTAACATATTCAACAGGTCTACAATTACAACATGGACAATTGGAGCTGTGAAGGAATAGTGGAAAAGTCAAACTGACATTTTTTAAAAAATTACGGAAGCAGATCAGTTTTGTTTTCGAAGCATTTTCACGTAGCTTGTTTGCCGAAAACCAGTCAATAATTTTGGTTGGGTCTGCCTGAAGCATTTCCATAGCACGCTGGTAAACTAGGTGCCGAGAAAACAAAATAGTGTCGTCCGCATATTGAAAAATTGTTGAATTTGTCGTTGCCGCAGAAATGTCATTTACGTAGAGGTTGAATAGTAAAGGAGAAAGAATGGAGCCCTGGGGAACTCCAGAAGTAAGGAAAACTTGAGAGCTGCGGACATTGTCTATACTGAAACAACCTGTGTACGATTTGAAAGAAAACTCTTGAGCAATGTATGAAATGGTCCCCGAAAGCCGATTCTATAGAGTTTGTCTAAAAGGATGTTGTGGTTCACGGTGTCAAACGCTTTGGCTACATCAACGAAGAGGGCACACAGATACATGTTATCGTCGAAGGAAGAGTGCACAATATCTGAGAATTTCTGAAGGAGATTAGTTGTACTACGACCAGCAACAAACCCGTATTGACTTGGAGAGATTAAATTGTATTTGTCGAGAAAACCGGACATAACAATAAAAATATGTTTTTCTAATATCTGTGAAATGCAAGATAGTATTGAGATTGGCCTGTAGGATGACACTTGGTTTTGTGCGCCACCTTTGAAAAGAGGAACAACTATGGCTTGTTTAAAGTCATCAGGCACATTACCAGTTTCTATAACATTATTTATAAGAACGAGGAGCACGCTTTTTAAAGAGTCATAATTCCGACACAAGTCTCTAACTGTAAGGCCGTCTACACCCGCCGACCTGAATCGCTTAAATCCAAACAGGTAGGACCGCAACTCAGCTTCTGAGAGAGAAGGAAGGAAAGCAGATTCATAGTGAAACGGAGTTCCGGGTGTCGAATCCACCGCGCTATCAATTGGCACAGTAATAGAGTTAGCGAAAAAATTATTAAACGCGTTGACAGTAGTCGCCATATCAGTCCCAAAGTGTTTGCGTAATGTCTCAGTTACGTTCTTTTTTAGATAGCCACGAAGCTCATTGACGACAGTCCAAGTTTTCCTGGAGTCCGAACGAGCGTCCGATATTTTTTTAGCGAAATATGTTCTCTTCGTTGACCGAATGAGGGCATTGACTCGATTTCTTTGCATCTTACATTCTAGTTCGAGAGAGGCATTGTTGGGGGACCTCCGAAACTTCTTCCACAGTTTTTCTTTGTGACTTATAGCTTCAAGAATATCTGGGGTGAGCCAGGGCAGTGAGGGTTTGCGTTTTTTAACATATACAACGGTCTTCGATAACTCCCGGAAATTTCTAATGATGTCTACAAACATTGAGTACAGGTTCGTGCTGTTAACCGAGGATAGGAATTCATTCCAATCATATTCTTTAATTAGTCGATTAAAAATGTTGAAGTCAACCCGCTCTGAACGACACGCACTTTCGAAATTATTACCTTTTCTGGAGGGAAAAACACATTTACATGCGACAAAATAATGATCTGCAAGCTTTTGTAAAATGACAGCGGAGTGTATGGAAGCATCTGGAGCTCGCACGTTTACATGATCTAGGCAGGATGATACCAGATTTTCATTTAATACTTCTTCGCGGGTCGCACTCTGAATGGTAGGTATGATTCTATGCTCGGAAAGTAGTGATAAATAATCACAAACACAATTTTTGGAAGTTTTCAGGGTGTCAATGTTGATATCTCCCACCAAATATAAATGTGCTTCATTAGACAATTCTCTCAAATTTTCCCTCAGCTCCTCTAAGAAGCCAGAGCAGTTGGACGAAGGAGGTCGGTAAAGAGCAAGCAAGCAAACCGCATAGTTAGAATTAGAAACCTTTAGCATCAAGCTCTCCGAGTGTTGAAATGTGACATCAGTTTGAGTTGTTGACCATGAGTTCTTTATAAATACGCCGATTCCTCCTCCTCTAGTAATTGGCCGTGTATAAAAGAAATTTTGAAATCCTAAAATATTAAACTGTGACAGATGATCAGCACTGACATTGATTTCTGTTAGCACAATTGCATCAATTTGGTCCCGCATTTGATCAACAACTGTCTTAAATTCATCGCAGTATTTTCGAATACTGCGAATGTTTATGTGTAAGACCATGAAAGAGTCGGTTGAAGAAGAAGAAAACGAGCTATTAAACGAGAGAAAATCGGCGTACTGTAAAAAACTAGCCGTGTCGGTTATGTGATTAGGTCCAGGTCACTTCTCTGCTGAATCCGTACCGGAGAAGCGCCCTCATCTTTTTTGGCATAAATTCGAGCATTTTTGACCCACACAAATTTGTAACCGCGTTCTTTTCCAAAAGTACGTGCCTGCCAGAAAAGTTCTCTGTTGGTTTGAGTTAAGCTGCCGTTGAAATACAGTCTTTCGGGTGGATTGTCACGAGAAAATTGCCTGAGCTTGCTACGAGCTTGCATCCATTTGTCTTTAGTGGCTACAGATGTAAACTTGACCAAAATAGGTGGTTTTATAGATCGTTTGCCTGGTAGCCTGAAAACCGACACGACATCAGCTGGTTGATGTCCCGGAATTCCTAGCTTGTCTGCCAGCCCCGCTAAGATGGAAGGGAGAGCCTCGTCGGGTTTGACGGTCATTCCATGAATTTCCATAATATGTTGGCGACCGCGTTGGTCAGCGTCGTTCATCTCGGTTTGGAGGCTTTGGATAGTATGTGCCTGTTCGCAAAGCGTGTCCTTTAGTGAAGCCACTTCCGTACGCAGCTCGTTCATGTCCGTCGCATGAGCAGACACCGTGGCGAGGAGGCTATTGTATTTCTTTCCTAGGAAGGAAATGGAAGTTTGAACCTCCTCCGCAGTCACTTTCATGCGATCTATGGTAGGCTTGAGGAGCAAGAGCTCATTCACCTTTGCGGGAAGCTCGAGCAGTAAATTTACGCTAGCCTTCAGAGAAAGTATTGAATCTAGCTTTTCGTTGATGGTCAGGATTTGCGCCGCGAGTGTCGTGGTTTCGCAGGACGAAATCGAGTCAGAGCCAGCATCGACCCCGTCTATATCAGCACGATTGTTCTTAGAACGGCAAACTTTGCACCTCCATTTTTCTTTTTTGTCGGGGCTCATGGCAGTAAACGTGGACTCAGCAATGCCGGAACACGTTTTCCCGAGATGATAGTTATGCTCGCAAACATGAGCATGTCATGAGTCTACCATCAGGCAAAATGCCTTTTTGGCAAGCGTCGCAAACAAGGGACATAATCGTCGAATTAAATGGCATTAAAATAACTAGAAAAAATATAAGTGCTGTAAGCACAGCTAGGCAGGTTACACCAGCGAAACAGTATATCAAGAGCAGCTTGGCACGGTCACCGAGAAAATGGAACTCCTCAAAGCACTGATGGTCGGTTACCGGCAAGGCTCGTCCGTGGATGTTCGCTGATTGGCCCAGGGTTGATGTTGAGTCGCAGAAAGTCGCCGAACGTCACGGATGGGCATGGGCAACGACTGCTGACTGAATGGTCGATGTACGGTAATGGCGGTGATGAACGGGGCTGCAGTCGCGATCTTCGAAGCAGTAAATCGGAAGCCACGAGTGGCTGTCGATCCTTGAGCCGGTGAGATGAGGTCGCCTAACTCCCCGTTAAACCATTTAGCAGGCAAGTTAAAGGTTATCGAATAAAGATTTTAAATTACATTTCTCAGAGCGATTAGAACGAATGCCCGGACATAATCACTTCTTCTTCTTCCTATAATAATAATAATAATAATAATAATAATAAATTTATTTATATAATAATATATTAATATTAATATAATAATAATAATAATAATAATAATAATAATAGTAATAGTAATAATAATAATAATATTTATTCACGAGAGAAGAATTACCAAGTTCAGCTTCGGACCTGGTCAAAGCCGGCAAGGGCTTGTGGGACCAGATCCAGCAAGAGAAGAATCAAAGGGCGAGCTCGCATATTGTCACACAGTATGGAAAAATAAAAGAGAAGAGAAATGCACAAAAGATTGTCATTGCTCCCGCAGGACGAACAACGGAGTTAGCCGCGGGGCCAGCAGATCAGTCGGAGCACTAAATAAAAGAAACGGCACTCAGCGGCGCACACACACACACACACACACACACACACACACACACACTTGTACGTCCGTATTGAAGAAATGCGAAGCAGAACGTCGGGACGAACATACCAAGACTGTAGTTACAAATAGTGTAGGGCACTAAAAAGAAAAGAGCACAAAAAAAAATCACTGGGCAAACTCGCAGAGGTCTTAGGGCTTCACGATAATGCAGATAAAACAACAATCTACTTCACGACAAAATTGAGAAATGAAAAGAAAAATAATATCGCAAACAGAATAGTCATCGTTTCACCGATATTATATAAAGCTCACAGTCACTGTCGCGATACGTCAGAAAATGTTGTTTTTAGAGTTTTCTTTAGTTTCTTATTTGAAGTAATGGAAAATATTGAGTCTGGTAAATCATTGAACACTTTCGGCACATAAAAAGCGCGCGTACTTTCACCATATCGCGTTCTCACTCGTGGTATGTCGAATCGAGAGGTAGTCCTAAGTTCCCGCGACGAATCCGATGTGACCTTAAATTCGCTCTCCCAGAAGTGGCGCCATATCAGCGTTTGGAGAAAGAGGGAGTGGAATGAGGGCAGTTCAAGCGAACCAAACAAGTTAGCGCTTGACGAAAATGGTGTGTTATACGTGACATTCTTGAGGATTGCGTTTAGAATTCGGTCAATTCTGGAATGCCAGAAGAGTGGACAGTTAAAAGAAATTGTGATCCCGTACCTCAGTATACCGTAGGCCAGAGCGTGCACAACCCTTTTCCTGAGGGAGAAAGGTAGGAACCTTTTTATGCTGTATAGCATACAAGACACTGACCTCAGCCGTTGACAAAGATGCGTCATATGAGTAGTCATATGACGTAATAATAATAGTAATAATCAATCAATCAATATTTTTATTGAAGTGCCCAGGAACAACCTTGCGGTCTTGGTACGGGTGCACTCAGGAAACACGAAAAACATAACACTACACGCAACAAACAACCAGTAAACAATAAAAACGCTTAAAACAGATGACATATGTCTCATAAAATCTCTACGGAATACCGCCACGATAGCGAAAAAAAAGAAAAGCAAGAGTATAAAATTTGGTTCTGAGCAACTCAATCAAGTGCAAGAAATGGTATGCAAAACGCAAAATTCGAATTCCAGCGCTTTTTTAAAATTCAATCAAGCAAAAATCCTTCGTTTATGCACCAGACGCACCAAAACAGCACCACAAGGCTGTCGTCCTTCTCTTCCTCAGGCGCCCATCATAATACTCGTGACCCACACTGTCAGAAGACGTAAACAGCCTTGTTGACCTCAAACCAAGCTAAGCCGATTGCAGCTTTCGAAAGGGGGACAAGGTATGACGTCGGCTCATAAAGATGAAATTTTATTTTTTCCCTTGTCAACATCTAACAGACAAAGTTGTTATCACCCGCTGCCGGATTTAATAGCTTCAGAGATTAGTTAAGCTATGCATATATATCTCGGAGTAAGGATTCTGTACAGCATTTGGTGGTTGCCTCTTCACTCCACGCTACTATCTACTACTTACGGTAACTCGACGAGCGAAAACCTAAGGTACGTTGCTAAATTATTTTTATTTATGCGAATACCACGGCTTCTTTAAACTTGCGCCTCTCGTTCTGTAGTTTAAGAACTGAGCCAACACACAAATAGGCGCTCGTTGTTTTCGGTGCTGTCAAGGTGTCTGCTTAACTCAAGCCATGTCCTCTACAGCACAATCCTGTGGAGAAAATTCAATCAGAAAACGACGCGTACACCAGTTAAATTTGGGTAGAAACTGACGGAGAGGAGGAGATGGGAGCAGAAGGGGACGTCGAAGCGCAGGCTCTGGTTGGAATGGCTAGTGAATAGACGAAAAGCTAGCTGCCTTTATCTCTACTCAGTCTTGGAACGCTTTCGAACGCCGGACGCCGGCGTTCCGTGTGTGAACAGATCACGAAGCAAGAATCTTGAAGATATTAAGAAACGCCCTAAGTTCCTTCAGCTATCCGTGACTGCAGTATGCATTACCTCCTCCCCTCGCCCTTTTTGTGTTGCTTATTGGATGAGGTTAAGTACTCGACTAACTTGTATAAAAATTTCAGAATGTACTGACCGAATAAGTTCTTCGAAGCTCTTCTCACACTTTCAGGCATGTCTTTGAGGTGTTTCCCCATATACCAGGACATCGGCGGAGTCAAGTACTCGATGGGCTACAAGGCTCATCATGTCCGTGAAGCACTGAATTACATGCCCCACGATGGCGACATTGTCATGGTCTCGCACCTGAAATGCGGCAACAACTGGCTGGAACAGATCATCCAACTGATTCTTTACGGGTAATGGAATATGGGAGAAACCAATGTTTTAGTGACAAAGATGTGTTTCTTAGAAACCACTTTCTCATTTAATCGTCGTAGGTAAGGTGGCAGTTAAATGAAAGCTTTTACTGGGTAATCTGGAGTTTGTTTTTGCCCGCATATTTACATCTCCTGTAAAGACTCTTGGATCGTAAGAAAGGGCGCACAACTTTCTTTCCTACACGAACCATTATCAAGCTCCCAAAACCAAAACTCGTTGTAAGTGGAGAGTTTGACAGGCTTTGCCCCCGTCTTCGCACGTTCCGGGCTAACCAGTTAAATAATACGCGATCGAAGGTGATACTGTATTCCTTATCAGTTAACCGTGTTTCATCTTTCCCAGCGGCCAGTCTGCCGGTGACCTAAGTGAATACCACAGGCGAACGCCGTACATCGAGATGGTCGGGACCGGACCGGTACAAAACATGCAGCCCCCTCGCTTTTTTAAGACGCACTTCAGTTACGAGCGACAGCCCATGAACCCCAAGGCCAAGTACGTGTACTTGACGAGGAACCCTCTAGACGTCTGCGTGTCCTTCTACCACTTCACTCGCTCGCTGCCGGTGTACAGATTCGGGGATGGAACGTTCGATGATTTCTTCGAGCTATTTGTGACAGGCCAGAACGATCGTGGTGACTTCTTTGATCACTTGATGTCCTGGTACTCTCATAAAGATGACGCCAACGTCTTCTTTGTCACCTATGAAGAACTCAAGAGGAACTTCAACGACACTGTCTCCAGACTTGCTCGTTTTCTCGGAGAAGAATACGCTAGACCGCTGGAGACCGACGAAGAACTCTTCCAGAAGGTTGTTGATCATAGCAGCATTAAGTTTCTGTCTCAGCTTCTGACGATTACGGAAGGCAAGATGAAGACCATGGAGGAGAAAGGAGACAACGATGTACTAGATGCTGCGAAAAGGTTTGTCTGCAACAAATCTGGAAAACCGTCGCCACTAAAAATTTTCGTCCGTAAAGGAATTGTCGGCGATTGGAAAACACATTTTGGGGAAAAACATCTGGATCGTCTGCGTAGTAGGATTCAAGAGAAGAAAGCAGTTGCCGTCGTCAAAGCTCTCTGGGGTTCTGAAGACCTGGGTGGCGTCGTTTAGTTTTGAGCACATTTGAAGAAGTTCACTTTGGCGGGGACATTTCAGCTGAGTGTGCACTTTTTAAGCAAGGCACACGAAGGAGCGAGAAGATTCCTCCATTAAAAAAGCAAAACGTACTTCGATTGAACGTTCTTATTTACTTACGTCACGAGCTTTGGCGTTTTTTTTGATCATTTATTATAATAAGTGTAGTCGTTCTTGATGTGTTTTTATGTTATTAACACGGTTTACTCAATAAACAAGTGCTTGGGGCTTCAATGGTCAAAAAGACATCTGAGCCTTTTTTCCGTAGATGGGTTTACGTAATTCTGCTTTACTTACCTTATTGTGACAGCTGGTATTATTTATAACTACAAGAAAAATAAACTGCTATTTACATATATGTCGTTGATCAGTATGTAGTTGGGCATCATGCCAGAAAAATATTTGTTTTAACAGCTCAGTAGCATTTTACGTTTGTTTAATCATAGTTTTATAACGAATAGAACAACCGGCCGTGACTTTTGATTAATTTTCTAATAAATATATATTTTATATCTTACGAACAGAAAGAATAA